TTGTCACAATTTGTTTCACAGTCCAAAACCTACTGATTATTCCTATCAGATCAGCACACTGTCCTGGTTTCAGCTGGGGTAATTTCCTTTCTGGTATCTGGTGTAGCATTGTGTTTTGGACTGGGGATGAAAACACTGTTGGTAACATACTGATGTTTCTAGTTGTTGTGAGGCAGTCAAGGACTTTACAGATTCTGATGCTGGGAGGGGAAGCTGCGAGCGGACACAGCCAGGACAGCCGACCCCAACTGACCAAAGGGATACTCCATATCATACGATGTCATGCTCAGCACATAAAGCCAGTGGAAGCAAGAGGAAGGGGGGGGACTCTTGGAGTGATGGCATTTGTCTTCCCAAGTAACTGTTACGCATGATGGAGCCCTGCTTTCCTGGAGATGGCTGAACACCTGCCTGCCAAAGGGAAGTAGTGAACAAATTCCTGGTTTTGCTTTGCTCGTGTGGCAAGGCTTTTGAAGTACTTATTAAACTGTCCTTATCTCAACCCATGAATTTTCTCACTTTACTCTTCTGATTCTCTCCCCCATTCCAACAGCAAATGTAAGCGGAGTGAGCGAGCGGCTGTCTGGTGCTTAGCTGCCAGCTGGGGTTAAACCACAACACACGCAAATATAAGTACAGAAACCAGCCAACATAGGAAATGTGTTTGAAAAGCAGAAGGAAAAGACACCCTACAAGTTACTTTAAAATATCATTAGCATCAAAGCAGGATCACCCTTCCCCTCAGATCAGGGGGGGGGAACACAAGACCTGTGTTTCTCTCTTATGCAATAGAAGTGTTACAGAATAGCTTTAAGTAACAACTTTTTTAAAAAAAAATAGTTCCACCTTGTGTTTGAAAATACATTTTAAAAAATTTAGTTTACAATTTTGTTAAAGACAACAAATGTGCCAGCTGAATTGTCTAGGCATGCAAGAGAAGTCAAAATAGCCATGAAACACCACAAGTTTACAGGTTGTAGATTACAGGTTTATGTTGAACATTCTTTTTGTTCTTTCAAAACTCTAGTTGAAGGCTTTCTTCCCTTCTTTTTCTGTTTTAGATTATGCAAACTTTCCAGTGTGGGCAGACTAGGAATTATTAATAAATTTACCTCCTTCCTTTTTCTTTTCAGTTGGATTTCTCTATATAATATAAATTTACTTCTACGTGATGCTCCTTGATTTTCAGCTATGTGAAGATGCATCCAGAGAGTAATTTCTAAAGCTAAAATCGATCACCTGTATTCCTGTGGTCTGCGTATAAGACTACTACTTTTTGTTGTTCATAAAATGAGTATATAAAGATAGTAATATCCTCAAGAAAGACTTCTGGCAATTATTTCTTCACATTTAAATTAACTTTTATGGTAGTCAGAATGCTGACCTCAATATACTGTAACTATGAGAGCAGAGCAAATTACCAACAAAATTATATTTTGCATTGCTTTGTTAGGATACTAAGTAATGGGAAAATGGGCATTCAGAAAACTCCCAATTAATCAATTAGCACTTTAGTAACTGAACAAATAAATGCTCAAGCAGCTTCACAAACAATAAGCCAGCATGTGATGGCAATGCTGCTGAAGGTGGTGGTGGGAATAACCACACAATTCAGCCCCACTTCCTTCATTATTCTTGGCCACATACGTTCCCCAGTCTTGCTGGCACAAGTGTCTGTGCTACAAATCTTACCAGGAAACCTCTCCAGGTTCACATTTCCTCCACCTCAACCAGGTTAATCTCAGGAAACCGATTCACTTTCCCAGTCCAGTTCTCCACACAACCACACAAATACTTGCGAAAGCAACAACTGTGACTAGGAAGCTGTATGCAGCAATAACGCAACCAGGCTGCATAGGCAGGGTAGAGTTTCTTACAGTAGTGACAGATCAGAGTATTCGTAGTTCTGTAAACTAAAAGATAGACTATCTGCTGCCTCTGGTATCTTCCTTCAACCTGCTGCCTTCACCTCTGCTCACCTTCTCCAGTCAGTGTACTTCAACTCCACTTCCACCCAATGATGTAATCTGGAAAGTGAACATTTGCTACTACACATTGCATTTTATTTAGCAATTCTGGATTACACATACAGCATGCACAACACAAAATGGCTTTCTGCCTAAACATTCCATTCCTTGCTGCTCACACACAACACAAAGTAAATGTTGAATTTTAAGAAATATCTTTATGCAAAGCTTTGTGGTAATTTCAACACAAACTGGTGCATTGCAACTGTCCCTGACAAGAACAGGTGAGGACTTGCAGAAAGGAAAGCACGACACTATATAAGTACAGAATCTTTTGTGAAATCCTGCTGTCATACACAGATTTCATAATTTCCTAAAGAAAAATAAAGAACTGTCAGAGAACTCGTGGGCAACTTGCATTTTAAGAAGCCACAAATTAAAAGATAAGCATCACAAGCTAAATATATCTAACACAAAGAAGGGCATAAAGTCTTAAGAATCTATTAAATAGTCCAAACTTACTTCATCAGAAGCAGAGCGAAGACACTGGACAGCAGCCTGTTTTTTCATTTCCTCTAGTGTTAGATCGAAAATGTCTTTCTCCTAAAATCAAAATAAAGAAATTACACTATTTAGAATACATTAATAGCTCAGTACTATAGCAGAACAGGACTACAAATAACATACTGTTCAGAATAACAACCACCTCAACCTATCTACTAAAAACTACTTTTTGACTAATTCAAGATTAGTTTATTAACAGAAAACTTGCACTTAATATTCAGAAAAGCACATATATTCTTCACAGGACATGGAGGCTACTCACACTTCACTGCAATATTTTCCAATTGCAAAGCATATCCATAAAGATCATTTTATGGCCAATTTATGGTTGAATGTATTACTGTAACTTACACAAAATGTGTTAGAGTGTCACTGATCTCTGAAATAATAAGGATGTTCAGAGTTAGGATCAAACTTAAGAGAAAGCTAAACATGACAAAAGCAGAAAATGCAATGTTAGATCCCAAAGTCTTCAACTCAGCCTCACAATGAACATTATGACTAGAGGTAGCAGTGCTTATCTTAAAATGAACCTGAACTAATTTCAGAAGAAAATTAGACACTGGGGGTGTGTGTTGGGTTCCCATACATATAAGAATATTTAATTAAGAACAATGACACCAAAGAATGCTATTATATTATACATAATCATCTGAACATACATAGCATCCATTTTATACCACTTTTCAGAACATACAAAATTTATTATCAGACTTGCTTATTCTTTGCTGTCCATTCATATATATACCCATGATTTCCCATGTTCATCTCATCAAAGAAATATTTTGGCTACCAGGAAAATAATCTTTAATGTCTTTTAATACATGCTGGTCTCAACCCTCCTCTTCAGAGAGATCCAAAAACACCTGATGCTTTTCAGTGTACCCGTCTCAACCTTTTCAACTTGTCTGTTACTGCTCCTAATGAAACCCAGGCTGAGGCCTACCCTCATTTAAAACAACTCCCCTTTCTCCATGGCTTCAAAATGAAGGAAAGACAAGCTGTCAGTGAAACTAGTTGTCTCTGTGCAATCAAAGAATAAGACGGCGAAAAAAGAGGGTGGAGAAGGGCCAGTCACCTTCAAAAGCAGCCACTGAAACGGCTGCCGTTCGTGACTTTACATGACCAAGTCCTTCAAGAGTAGAACTTATTTCTTAAAGTCTTATTTGATCACCAAAACTGGAGAAATGGATTTTGTTCTGAAAGACCAAAAAGCTAACAGACACTCTGTTCTTCTTATACTGTGCAAGATGCCAGTGGTTCGTTTAAAACAAGAAATTTGAACAGGCTACAGTTCTGTTCTTAGAAGGACTAACAGAAAGAAATAATAGGAAAAAAAGGTAAGAAAAGAAGAAATCTCAGAAAATAGGTTCAACAGAGTGTGAACATGTACACTCCATTTTTTTAAATGAATTCATAATTCTTTTCCAAAATTGTAGTTTATATATTTCTTTACACACAATGAGGCTGTAGAGCACTCTAACTCTTCCCAATAATCACGTGAAAGTATACAAACTGATGAGACCCACCCACCCTCACACCAGCTTCCAATGGCTGTCCTGCTCATCCACATGGGCAAAGTTATGAATGAAAAATACATACCTACTTGCAACACATTACCCAAAATGAAAATCCAGGCACAGCAGCAAATGTGCACTGGGTTAACTTCATTTATTCTGCTCTTAGGTGAAAAGTTGATTAACGCAACATCTACACTAGGAAAACATTACCAAAATGCTACGTATTCAAGTACTTTGTTGTATCTGCACCAGCAAAGTTTTGCTTTGTACTGGCACATTGAAGCTAACCTCTGCCAGAGCAGCTTTACTCACCATGTATGCTAGCACTCTGTCAGCAGAGCTGTAAGAACCTTCTTGCTCATGGAAATGTATAAAGCATTTCATTCAATCCTCCACACATTTAATCTGAAAGATCTGACACTTGTCTACAAACTTTGCCACTTCAATTTTTAAAAATTTAATCCTTGCAGTAAATACCCAAATTTTTAAATGGGGGAAGGGAGGCTGAGCGGCGTTCTCGTCAGGCACCCGCCCCGGAGCGGTGTTTAGCAGGGTCCCATCCCTCCCTCCGGAGTCAGCACACCGGTCCGGCACTGCGGGCACCGCGCGGCTCCTCTCGCAGGATCCAGCGACAGAGGCCAGAGCTCTGGTAGGATCCTCTCCTCCTCTCTACCGCTTTAGACAATCCACTGAAAACTCCTTTCTGAACATAGGATTTTCAGTCACACCTGGCTGCCAGTGCTTCACGCTGCCATTTTAAGTTTTATAGGAAAAAAACCCAAACTGTTGAAAAGTTCACATTTTGCATTTTATTTGCTGGACAAAATCGCTAATTTTTTAGCCTCAGATTTTACAGGATTAGGAAACACCATGGATTACAGCTCTTCCACATAAAATTTTGAAGTTTAAAATCCTCATGCAAACCACAATATTTATCAGCATATTTATAGATGTATTTGACATAGCCTAAATTTGTTGAGGATCTTGCACTTCCTGCACACAAATGAAACACCACACCTCTAAAACCCTACAGAACAGTGAAGGAAAAAAATCCTTATGTATAATTCTTATGTCATAATTCATCAGAACCTCTCTGAATCAATTACCAAAAAAAAAGAAGAAAAAAAAAAAAGCATTACAGTGGAACAGCTAAGAAAGAAGAAAATGTCGAATTTCCTAGAAAGAGAGTTTGCAGAACTTTGTGACAAACAAACCAAGTAGAATTCTGCTTTTATGACGAGTAAATTGATTAATGAAAGACAATCCGGTAGTTTCAAATAGTTTAAATTAATCTCTTCCTTTTTTCCCTTGTTTTTTTTTTTTCTTTGTCTCCATGACAAACAGGCAAGAAAGCCGTTCAACAAAATGTTCTGTGTGCATGAAGGCAAGCAAACTAGTTACTTCACATGGAAAGAATCACTAAGGGCTTCTGTTCTCTTCAGCTGCTAGATGCCTTCATTTACCTTTTTTTTCCTAACAGAACTAGAGATCATATGGTAATGTTTGTTTTAATGCTAGAGCTCTATCATAACTTCAAATTTCCACAGTTCTGCTCAGTGGTCACTGAAGTTTTCATAAAAGCAATGCCACCCCAAACTTAGAGATTTTAAAAGTGTGCATACACAGAGAAGAAAAATTGAAATTTGGCTCACAAAATTTTAATATTTAGAACAAACTAACACTACTTAAGTGTTCAAGGGATGACCACCCAATATTAAATAAATACCAACAGGAAGCCGAGGCCATCTGGATATTGGAAAAATTTAAGTTTGAATATCTAAACTGCTATTTCAACATCTATTCTTCAGAGTCCTACTATACCTACCTACCTACTACATAACTAGATAATTTCATATTAGAGATTTTTAATTGTAAAGACACTGAAAGTGCAAAGTTCCGTGACAAGAATAACTGAAACCATAGATATGGCTAAAGAAATGTTGGTAAAGTATCTATATTCTTTATGCTAAAGTTGCCTCAAGAAATCCAGTATTTGGAGGGATTAATTCAATCCTGAATTAAAATACAGGTACAAATTTTAGAAAGAGATTTCTAAAATGTTTCTCCTGCTCAACTACGCAGAGCAGCAATTCTACCACTTCCTTCCACCCTACCAAGAAATTGGAGAAGCAAAAGAAAAGCAAGTTTGGTAGTCACCCTCCTTACTTTCATTTGTTATAAAGATAATAGAGAAATATCTACTACCAATAAGAGAACAAACATGACACCTTGCGATTTGACTCAAAGAAAATTGTTTTGAAGCTCCTAGTCTACATAAATGGAAAATCGGTGTCAAAATACACTTCAAGAACTTTGCAGGACCCGTATTTCATAGAAGCTAGAGTTAAGTTCCCTGATGCAGAAACACTAGGTGACTCAAGGTCCCAGTTCCTATTCAGGTAAGCAAACAGGGTTAAATTTTGCCTTCTCAGCAAAACACACAGGAAAGGAAGAGATTTAACAACCTGATCAACAAACTCCCCAAATAAGGAAATGAAATCAGCAGAAAAACATGTTTAACAAAAAATTAAAAATCACCTTTTTTTTTTCTCAAGTAAGTTCAGGGAAACTGATTCCCTAAGATTCTCCCTGTATAAATGCACTACAGATTGAATCAGAGACACACTAAGATGAACAAATATAATGTATATCAAGTTTTCAGATAATGTATTGAACAGCCATAATTATCTATGTGGTCAACATTTCTATGTCAGATTACACCCAAAAGACTTCAGGCCAAGAATTTCCATTATCTTAGAGAAGAAAATACTGAATTACAAAAAATTCTGAATGAAGAATTTTGAAGAATTCCTCTTTTTTAAGCATTTTAATTTCAGCACAAACCACTTGCTATTCAAGCATATTACCAGTCTGGCATTTCTTGCTCTCGTAAAAGTTACTGCTGGCCAGCCAAAACATGCTGCTTCAACAAGCAAGTTCTAGTAACAAGTTCATACAAAAAGTAAGTACTCGATGTGGTAATATCTCAAATACAAAATAATCACACACACACAGTCTCTCCCTTCAAGACCCCAACTCAAAGAATACTATCAAAACAAGTAACCCAAACATCCAGACAAGATCACCTAATGTGAAAAAGAACTCCCAAAATTGTTAAGGTATGCAAGCAGAGTCCTGCAAGATTAACATATGTGAACAATTTTTTCAGTTAATACATCAAGAGATTTCTCCAAGGAAGGGGAAAAAAATTATGCACAGTTGTTTTCTTTTTTTTAAAAAAAAAAAAAAAGGCAAACATTTGCCAGGCTCAGCAGAGCAACTGATAGGTATTTTTGCCACGAGCAGTTTGGAGCTGTATGCCTACTGAATGGCGGGCCAGCTCCTGCCCACTGCAGTACATAAAAATTAAGTTTTGTCTGCTTGTTCCAAACCGGGGCATTAGCCTGCAGGCTCCTCTCGCAAGCTGTAGGAGAAACCTTTCTTACCCAACTTTTTTAAAGATGCTTAAATGCCATTAAAATAGATCATCAAATTCCTGGACAGGCCAAAGGGAAAAAT